CATTCCATTCACTTTTTACTTGGGCAATCTCACAAACTCTTTCTATCTTTGGCTGCACTCCACCATCCTCTGTGCTCCTCAAGCACACTATTTTTCCATTACTGAGACTTTTATAAACACATACAACTGCCTGCTTACTTATCCACGCCCCATGAGGGCAAGACCCACTTCTGTCTGCTGCCTCCTTCAAAGCTCTGTTACTAGAACTAGAACAATGGCCAGCACTCGGTAAGTTTACAATAAATGTCAGGTAAGTGAAGGAATGAAGACACCAACAGAGAGGAAGAATAAATGTCAACAGAAAGATATATGTTAACATAATCATTTTTTATGAAATCAAGAGACATACTCTGGGGCTGGGATCGTGGCTCATTGGTAGAGTGCTTGCCTCACGTGTGAGGCACTGGGTTCATTTCTCAGCACCACATACACATAAGTGAATAAAATAAAGGTCCATCAACAACAACAACAAAAAGATAGAGGCACTCAATAAACACCGACTGACTGAACTTGAGCTATCTTAAAGGACTACTATTCTTCTAGCCACTTTGGCCTTCTGTAATCATAGGCATCTCTTTCAAAGGCCAGCAGTGCAAAAAGAAACCACACACAGACCAAATATGATCTATAGAAAAAGACTACACTCTAACCTAAATTCTTTTGGCTGCATTTTTCTGTCTTCTCTTTAGTGTATCTGGAAACCAACTGGTCACTACTTTTTGTACAATGCCAAAATTCTATATGATGATGAATTAAAAAAAAAATCCTACCAACCTTCTCTTTTGCAAATGAAGTACTATTAACTCAGAAACAATTTTATCCAATATACTATTTTTCACTACACATTTAATTTTCTATATCTGAGATAATGGGAGAGCCAAGTTAATTTTGTGGGCTAGATCACTGAACTAAAGAAATCCATGTTAAGTAACCAGCTGTCATATGTAGTGTTTATTTCTGCTGTCATGTGTAACATAAAAAAGAGTTTTTGAAAGATGAAAGCCACCAAAGTCATTATGCAATGAACTGATTAAGATTTACTGTGCACCTTCCATGCAGAGTGACTAAATTTTTTTTTTTTTTTGTATGGGGGATTGAACTCAGGGGCACTCAATCACTGAGCCATATCCCCAGCCCTATTTTGTATTTTATTTAGAGACAGAGTCTCACTGAGTTGCTTAGCGCCTGGCCRTTGTTGAGGCTGGCTTTAAACTTGAGCTCCTCCTGCCTCAGGCTCCCTAGCCACTGGGATTRCAGGCGTGCACTACCTACTGCACCCAGTGACTGAATGTTTTAAAAAGGCATTGATTCATTTAATTCTCATAAAAACCCAATTGTGTCAAATATATTATCCTCATTTCACAAGTGAGAAACTGAGGCAAAAGAAGATTAAATAACCTACATGCAAATTTTATTTATCTTAATGAGATTTTTGCTGTTAGCATTTTCCTGCCACTAAAAATTCTTCATAAACATGATATTATTTCACTGTACAGACAAATGATAATTCACTCAACCATTCCGACACCACTGGGAAATTTTGGTTGCTTCCAATTTTACACTATYATAAATCGCCTTGCTATAGACAACTTTGCAAAGAAGTCTTTGCCCACATTTTGTTTTATTAATTTCCTGGGGTGGATCCTTAAAAGAATGAGTGGGTCAATAAATATTTATTGGATGAATGAAGTAGACAAACTCCATCATTTTGCCCCATGAATTTCTCCTCTTTTATGCTTACAAAGTTTCTCCCCATCCCAAGGACAAATGAATATTTATTTTAATTTTACATTTAATTTATAAATAAATATTTGAATTTTGTTTTGATGTATGAGATGAGCTATAAACATTTTTCTCTAAATACCTAATTAGACCAGGCATGGTGGCACAAACCTGTAATCCCAGTGGCTTAGGAGGCTGAGGCAGGAGAATGGCAAGTTCAAAGCCAGCCTCAGCAAYTTAGTGAGGCCCAAGCAACTTAGCAAGACCCTGTCTCAAAATTAAAAAAGGGCTGGGGATGTGGCACAGCAGTTAAGCACCCTGGATTCAATCCCTCACATTCCCCCCAAAATAAATAAATACCTAACCCATTTGTCCAAAACCATCAAYTGAATAAACATCCTCTTTCCAATGACTTTTTCCCTTCTTTGATATACATGGGTATATAACACATACACACAGTCATTTTTCCCCTGAACATCCATTTCTAAGCATATCCTACCCCYGCCAYCCACTTGTTGATTTATTCTTTTGTCAGGAGGCAGWGAAGCTCTGGGAAGCAAAACTAATGGGCTTGGACTGGGATTGTGGCTCAGTGGTAGAGCGCTTGCCTAGCACAAGTGAGGCACTGGGTTTGATCCTCAGCACCACCTAAAAATAAATAAATAAATGTATCTAAAAACTAATGAGTTTAATATTTTAAGTGCTGAATTTAAGCTGATGGTAAATCATTTTGATGGAAATATATTGTAGGACATTAGAAATACAAATCTGTTACCCAGAAGAGAAGGGAATAAAAGATTCCTCAAGAGGACTTGAGAAAGCGAGAGCCCAGGAATGGTGCACAGGAAGCCAACATGTCAGGGCTGGGTGGAGGAACACAGCCATGTGAAAGAGCAGTCAGCAGGTCACTTCAGGAGAGAAAGGCTTAGTGCAGACTCGAGCAGAGAGTTTCAAGCATCATCATGAATTTCACATACTTTTTGGCTTAACTGATCTAAACAATAACATAATGATCTATTCTAATCCTGAGAAACATACTCTCGGCTTCTGAGTTTGTTAAAAGCAGTTACCAGATATAGAATCAGGATATCAGCACATCGTTATATCATAGGGTTTAGAGAAGGACACCTGTCTAAATGTTCTAGCACATTTTAAATCTATTTATAGGCAACTCTTGGGGTTTTGAAATGTTTTCAGTGACACTGTCTTATTCTAGGAGTTTTGATATAATTTTACTCATATACTAAAATAGGTATTTTAAAGACAGAAACATTCTTGAAAAAGAGGCAGATCAGCTCTGTTAAGAGAATCACCACTTTGGGCCACTCAAATGAGTGCTGTTGGCTCTGAAGAAGAACAAATCCCAGCTCTTGCAAAACTGTAGCTTCTGCCTACAATTTAATTAATGTAAACCTAATTCTCAATGGTCAATGTCCCCAACACCTTCGCTGTTTAACTAACCACTGGTCAAGCCCCTTCTTTTTTAGAGCATGACAAGATATATTTCAACACATATTGGCCTGATGGTTATTTCTAACTGTCCTTAATTAAATTTCACTACATTTAGGCACAACAGAAGCTTAAACATTTTAGGCTGTTGTCTGTTTACACAAAATGTGCCTATCTGCAAATGAATCCATTTCTAAATGTGAACTGTAAGAAGGACCCTGCTGCATATCATACTCCCAGCTGGAAAAATCTAGAAGGAACTCAGAGCTTGTGTCTCATCTTGCTTTTTTCTGCTGGGGGCGGGGGGTTACTGGGGATTTCATCCAGGAGTGCTTTATCACTGAGCCACATCTCCATCTTTATTTTGAGACAGGATATCAATAATCTGCTTAGGGCCTTGCTAAATTTCTGAGCCTGGCCTTGAACTTKCAATCCCCTGTCTCAGCCTCCAAGTCACTGAGATTACAGGTGTGTACCACCGAGCAAACTGCCTTCCATTTAACTTGTCTAAATAGATATTTACCTATTTAGATTTTTTTAATCTAGATTTGTTTTATTTTTCCGCCCTACCCCCCAAACACACACACAAAATGCTTATATTACTGAAAAACTGTSTTTTCTCAAACAAACCAAGATCTCTGTACATAGCTGGACACTTTAAGCCAGAGAGAGACAGAGAGACAAAAAAGAGAGAGCACCCCATCTATTTTCCTCTAAGGAAACCCAACAGCAAGTCAAAGCTAGCCCTGGATACGGCTGCAGGAATGAAAGTCCTCCATGACAAAAAACACAAGTATGACAAAAGTCTGAGATGGAGATGCTGTCCTAAGACAATGAAAGCCCTTGGTAAGGCAGGCACATGGGAGGCACTGCCAAGAGCTTTCCAGTCTGGGCAGTGACTTCAAGAAAAATAGACTTTTACCCCTGCAAGCCTGCCAATGCAGTTCAGACAGCATTCCCTTGTATTTAAATGTCTGAGAGTATGAAATTCACTCATGATGACCCTTACCAGCCCCATCTCCATCAGTCCTGGCCAGAATATAAACTCAGACGTTTACACTGTTTCTTCTATCCTTTCCAAAATTCAGCCAATTATATGAAAACATATGCTAAAAACCTTGCTGATAGTATGCTGGGCTTAGTCATTCCTTGGGTTAAGGTAAAAACGAGTAGCAAAATCAGTAATTAACCCACTGCATATTGTGGTTGATTCTTTTCTCCATTATTGATCTCTTCTTAATTTTCAATAACCACAATCATTATTAATTTTCAATAATCACAATCACAGTGATATCATATGATATATGTGCTTCCTTTGACTAGGTTCCTCCCCTCCTCCATTTAACTGCCTAACTGCTGTTTGGCTTTTCAAAGAGCTAAGACACCACCTCTTCYAGGAACCCCTCCTTAACAAATATACCCCTATAATTTCTAACTGTAGTTTTTCCTGGATTCCAAAACTATCCTCTATATGTTACCTTCACAAGAGTACTCTATTTGTTTCTAAGACATGTCACCCCCACTAGTCTTTGGGGTTCTCAAAGGCAGAGAGCTTTGCTCATCTTTTTGAGCCAGCTCACAGGACAATGTCTGGTATTTAGTAGGCATTCTAAAATGTTTGTGAAACAAGTGAATTTGCATATGAAAGTTCACTTAGAAACAGAATTATAGATATGGGTCTTTAGAAAACATTTAGCCCATTTCCCTTTATCCATAATCCCCTAAACAACTATTTCCTGAGTTCTATCAATATATTAAAACAAAGAAATCTTTATTTATGTTCAGTTTAAACACTTTCTAATGAAAATAGAATTAGATAAAAACCTTACCGGCAAAGTTCCAGGCAGAGATGCATCAAAAAAAGAAACCAAAGAATTTGGAGGTGCTGCAAAACACACTTGAGATCCAGAGAAGAGCTTAGAGTTGGAGGAAATCTGGGCATGAATTTCCAGTCCTACAACAGCTGCCCATTTGTGTTCACTGGTGAGAAAGAGATCATGGTTAAGAAGTAGTTACATCTGTCAGCACGAATACATTTCTATAAGCCTAAACCCCAAATGTGAATTTCCTTTTTAACTTATTAAAATTTTATATCCTTACATTTTAAAATGTATAAATTTCATAGGTGACTAAATCAAAAGCAATTCATATTGAACACCTGAAATGAGATGGGAAAAATAAACTTGTTTGCAATGTGGAATTAGGAGATTCATTGCATAAACAGGAAGGCTACAAAGAACAAAATAATCTAGCATCTTAATATAATTTAGAAATGGTATCAGGTGACAACTGCCAGGCAGCAATGTCTAAATTAACGGTGCCTATCAGTGAACCACTGAGTAAATGGAAGAAAGCCTGTCTTTCAAATATTATCTAGAATTAACACAAATGGAAGGATTTGACTACAAAAAAAAATAAGTTAAAAAAGGAAATTCTCAAGTCATATTTTAAATTGATTTTATCACAATGGCTTACAGGTACAACAACCAGTGTCACAGATATAACAGATCACCACTAAATGATACTCCTGAAAAATTTCACAAAGGAAAACTAACCATCAGATGTGGCACTTTGGGAGGAGAGTGTACTGGGGATTAAAGCCAGGGGACACTTTACCCTTGAGCTACATCCCCCACCCCTTTTTATTTTGAGACAGGGTCTTGCTAAATTGATGAGGCTGGCCTTGAACTTGTGCAATCCTCCTGTCTCAGTTTCCCAAATCAATGGGATTACAGGCCACGATGGCTCCCAAATCACTTCAAATTTCTGAGATTTAATCTCAGGTTGCTTTGTTGGTTTATGATTGACTGCTATCAAATTTAAGAAGYAAAGTGCTAAAATAATCTCTCTTATCCAGCCATCCCTACTCTGTTGGGTTGGTACACAGCTCTCTCCCAGTAATTATAAGTGTGCTTATCCATATCAAATTTATGTAGGTTCCTATCCTGCTCTTTTCCCCAATCTTCTATATTATTTAGATTTTTGTTCATATGTATTGGGTTTTGTTTCAATCATTTCAATACAAGAAGTTCTATGCCTAATGTACCACAAAAAGATGAATTCCTTCTTTTTAAAGTTTGGAAACATCTTGTGAAAGGAATTAAACTAAGAATTCATCAGGAACTCTAAATTCTCTTAGGCATCATTCAAAGCATTTTTGTAATTTCATTATGTGAGACAAAAATATACTTTCCATTTACAGGGAGTCAATATAATTTACGAAAAGAATAGAAATCAAATGCTTTTGGACATTYTCCCTCTGTTTCTCTGACTCAAAAACAGAAATAATGTCAAAGAAAAAAAMCCAAAATATTAGAAACGTACCTTATGTTTCTGTATTTAAAAAGAAACTATTTAAATCTTATGCGGCAAAGCATAAACAGCAGCTCAGGAAATATCTACCAAAATAAGCAAAATTCTTATATAACAAAAAGGGGACGCTCTTAGTTGGCTACATCCTCCTAAGTCTAGACACACGTATTTAACATAAAACACCTCCACAGATCGCTGGTGTTTTCTGATTACGTATGACATTAAGCCACCAATAACCCAGATAGCTTGTAATATTAAAAACTCCCTTTCCACATTCAGAACACTGTTAGTCCATAGTAGCGCTAAAGATATGTCAGCTAAATGATTCCCCTTCTAGTGTGGCCAACCTCACAGCTAACGAATTCGCTCTTCTGTCTGTGCAACCTTCGGCTCAAGAAAACACTTGCTACATCACACCAAGTTTCCCAAATATGCCTACATTAAGACAGTGGTATGTATATGAGGGCGGGACTCACAGAGGGCTCATTTTGTGTTCTCAGGCCCTAGGGCTCCACCCTCCCGCCCCTTGAAACCTCTAAAACTGGGCTGTAGGGGCCAACGTCTCCCTGGCGCCGCAGTTCCACTTCACACTTAGGCGGGCAGTAACAGTATGAAAATGGTATACCCTTTCCTCAGCTTCTGGGCSGTGTGGAGGGGCTTCTGAGCCACTGTACTCTGTTCCCTTGTCGGATTGGGCGTGGACCCAATCGAAGCCCCTCTTCGGYGGCGAAAACCGCCGCCAACCCCCGCTAAAGCCCAACGTGTGCCAGGACAGCCCCAGCGCAGCACGGGCGCCGCCATGGCACCTCCAGAGTCCGGGTCAGGTGACTCAGCGTCCTCTGCCGCAGGGCTCCCTGGGAAGCGTAGTTCTGAAAAATACTGAGACTCTGTAGGCTTGGACCGGAAGACTACTATTCCCGGCGATCATTGCGTCTCGAAGCTGCCGGAACTCTGGCGGGGAGGGGAAGGAAAGAGAAATAGAGGAGAGGGTGAGAGGGTATGAGGGTCGGGAGGTGTGACTCCTCCTAGCGGGGAATTGAAGAGGTTTGCGCTGTGCGCTTGTGTGTGAGTGTGAGCATAAGAGCTTGGTGCCAGAGAGCCAAAGCTGGGAAACCTGGCCTTGGTTTCATAGCCAGTTAACCTTGTGAGCCCAGCCAATGACCTTGACATCAGGGAAACTTCCTGAACTCCAAACCCACTTATCTGCCTTATCTGTCGGCTCTCCCACTTCGCATACAGATTTGTGCGTTAAAAGAACGGATACTTATTTGCATGCACAGTTCTTAATGGTATAGCAATAATGGTATAGCAAAGAGCAAGACAAGTTTGGGCTCTTAACAGTGTTTACATTCTAGGGATAGGAACATACAAAAAAAAAAAAAAAAAAGGTGTTGTATTTAAGCAGAAGGTGGTTGGAGACAGATTGAACCTTAATGTGCATTTTAACTTTTTCTCATTTTTTTGTTCTTGGCCAGCATCTGAAACAATCTCTTTATATTCTCGGAAGGCTGGATAGCAGATACCATCGTCCCGGCCGAATTCTTTCATTTTTCTGCTTTAATCCCTTGTATTTGAACACAGTATCCATTCTCTTAGTTTATCATCCAATTTTAATTGTTCACATAGAATTTATAATTATTTGATGTTTATCTTGTTTCCCACAAATCCTTTTGTTCACCATGATGCTTCCAGAGTCCAAACTAGGCCTCTCAAAAGTATTTGGTGAATGAAGTAGTGTGGAAAATGCTTTTGACAAAGGACAGAGTGGATGTTGTTTGGAGGAGTCGTTTAGGAGAGAAATTAAGGTGGTGATGGAAGCAAAGACCAATTGATCTATTTGAAATAGAAGGTAACATTAAGGGACGGTTTAGATATGACAGTGGAAAACTAGCCGKGTTAGAGTAACCCCTGCATTTCTAGCTTGCATAACTGGATGGCTAATGTAGTTAACCGCTGAGATAAGGAAGCTAGAAAAGGAACAGGTTTGCAGTGAAAACATAGGAGTTTGGTTGCCTTGGAGACATCCAAGAGAAGTTAAGTAGGCATCATTGATGCCTAGCTGTGAGTATAGAGCATAAGAAAAAAAAAGCTGCATGTTGTGCATACTTCATAATGGTAAGTTTTCCATTATTAATCAATAACCTGTTGATTAGACAACTGCAATTTATGATCTATTTCCATTAATACTTTTGTACAATTATGGCATTATGGTATGTGGAAGTAGGAAATTTTAATTACTCTCTYTAAAATGGTCATAATTTACTTTTTCTGTTTTTTATACTTTTTCATTCACTATCAGCTGATCTAAATTGCTATACCAGAAGTATTTTCAAATGACTAAACTACCTCTAGTTATTGCCCTTTATATCAGGTTCAGATCTATACTTTAGATGCTTTTTATTAGTGTCTCTCCCTCTCCTCTGAGTTTCCATATTTTCCACCTTTACTGTGGATGAGTTTGCTTTCTCTTTTGTCTTAACTCCTCAGGTTTTTCTGGCCCAGATTAGGGATCAGGAGCACAGCATGAAAGGGAGGAGAAAGGGATCCTGCACCTCTAGTCAAAGAGAGTATGAGGTTTTTGCCTTCTTACCACTACCCTTACCACTAATCAGCATACTTAGAAGATAGTTTACTCCTTTATATGGAGTAGTGTTGGGGGTGTTTTGAAAACTACCATAAAGGATAGAGCACACCTAAAGACAGTCCTAGCTTTTATGGAAAGAAGGCAGTGTAATGGAAATTCATCTCATGAAGCAGTATTGCAGTAGTGACAGGCTGTCCCTTCAAAGGCCCCCCACCCCACCACTAGAGGGAGAGAAAATACTATGCATGCAAACATAGTCAATTCCTTTCACAAATGGAACCTTCCAGTCGGTGCATGTTTTATCCAACCATGGCCCTTTCAAAGTCCTACAAGGGCTAATGGTGGAAATAGGAACTTGTCACCCGTCTTTCTGACTCTCTGTTCTTCCAAGRTTTTGTGTTACTTCCAAAAATGCCTGATGGTTTCTCTATGCTTGATGTGGTTTCTAGGAGATGATTGTTTTTCAAATGCCTTGMCCCTCAGCTAGTCAGGTTCTCCCCTCAAATCTCCTTCCATGGGGCCGTTCTTGCCCTTCTCCTGCGTGCCAAATCTGATATCTGTCAGAACTCTTACTGACAGACAGCTCTCTAGCTGAGAGAGCTATTTTGGTTCTACCGACAAGGTGGCTGTCATCTGGAAGACAGAGATTTTCATTTTCAAGGAGCTCAGGAGGTAGCAGGACAGAATTTCTAGAAGAAAAGAAAAAAAAATGTTTTCCAAGAAGGGTTTCTCTGTTCTTATTTTATCCACATAATTGACATAGCACAAATAGATTTAGAACAAATTTTTTAAAAGATGTAGCCACTGCAGAATTCTGAGTTGTTATTTATAAATGGCAATAGTTTGGAAGCATGTATAAAATAACATACTTGATTTTGTTTAATATTCTTCAGAGAGTCTTTGAATGTCAGAGTTGGAATGGACTGGCCCACCTCTCTATTTGACTCATAATCTCCAGCTATCTAAATCTTAGATTCTCCAAATCTAAGTTGTGTTTAATTGTAATCATCCYTTTCTCATCCTTTCTCTACTTCTCAGTGGGGTAAATAATATGAAGATATCATTGCATTCCAGGATTTTTAAGTTCTTCATTAGTGTGCACACAGTGTAAAGGAAATACACATATTAGTGGTTCTAAGTTTATGCTTTTTAAAATGAAGCAAACAATTTTCTTGGGAAAATTACAATTTCAGATGAAATTAAGAAAATAGTTCCTTCTGTCATGGCAATGTATCTCAAAATGTATTTGTATGTATTTTTAAGAGTCTTAAAATTGTGTGAATTAATCTATTCTTCAGTTAACTACCTGTGTCCTGTGGAACTGAAGGCAACAATTTAAAAACTTTTAGCAGAAGAATGAATAAAGGCTCTTGGCGACCTAACAGAGCTGAGTGTGGATGGTTATCTTCGTATTTCTCAATTCAATGGTGAATTTGATTTCTCTGTTATTTGTTAGTTTCTATCTGTTCCTTGGCTATAGAAAGCAGTCTACTGTTGAAATTCCATGCCATGTGGTAGGAAGGGATGATAGTTAGGCCAGTATAAATTCTCTCTAAAAATAAAACAACAATTCACTTAAAATGATGGACATATGACAAAAATTGACAGGATCATTTTCATGTAGGAAGAAACTAAAGTAGGTCCTGTATTTGAAAAAGCATTCTGAAAACACCAAGTTACTTCTTAGAATTACCCACATTTTAAGTTCCAGTTAAGTATCATTGGGGGGAAAAGAAAGACTGGGAATACATGCCTGCCGAGCAATTGGGAGAACAGGATTCATTTCCTTTTATTTTTCCATTAAAGTCTTGATTCTGATAAAATACGGATGTGGAGGGAACAATTGCTTTCTCTAGAAGATTGCTTGGAGGCAAAGAAATCTATAACTCTTTCTTCCTTTCCAATGCAAGGAAATAGAACACTCTGTCCAATGCTTTGGTAGAGATGAAGTGCCATCCGGGAAAGATGATTCCAGTACATTGCTGCTCTCAGGCCTGTCTGGTGAACTATAATCTCTCTCTGGTCTTCCTTCTTGTAACTGCTCTCAGGGGGTGGTTTGCTGTTTTCCCGGCAGTTGTCTGTTCTAACAATCTGACTCATCCCTGGGAGCAAACAGGAGTTATGTGTAAGAAAAAGCTCCACCTGCACACATCCCCTTGACTCACCATTTCCTTGCAGGAAGATACTTTGTTGCAAGTAATGGGTGGTAGAACACATGACACTGTTTTTAGAGGCTGCATGTGATAAAATCCCTGCTGTGTTAAGATGCTCTCCCTTTTGTGTTTTTTGAGTCAAGTATTTGGCTTTCAAAGTTAGAGAGTTTGTGAGCGCATGTACACACACACACACACACACACACACACACACACACACACACACACTCCTGCGTGCTTTTAAGCATTATTTAAACTCAGGACCATGCATAAATACTACTCAGGAGTTTTTAGATTTAAAAGCAGATGAAGTTTTTGTATACCAGACAGTTCTCCTGATTTTAAGCGTAAAGAGTATGACTTTAAAGAACTATCCCACTAGGACACATGGATTCTGATGAGACCTTTCTCCCTATGAATGAACTCCTACTTGATAACAGAGGGGACTATACCAGAGTTCATCAGGATGGTAMAAAAGAGAGCAGAAAACCTTATCTTACAACCCTGCCAGGTAATCAGTGTCTGTCGGTGTCTGTCTAGGCTGCCCTTGAACCAAGAATAAATGAACTGCACAAAGCAAGAAAGGCTGAAATCTTGTCAGTGGTGGAGCCTTTGGGGTCACCACAGTTTAATGTATAACTATCGAGAGGAAATGTAGTGCTCCATGAAGAGGCGCCAGATTGAATTACAATCAAGCAGCAATCAAACGATACAACTACTGAGATAATGCAAAGACAGAGAGAGGGGAAGGGAGAAAAATTCCAGCAGTTCATGAATACTAATTAGGAAAGGAAAGACCAGCACAGACATTATTCATGTCTCTTTGGAATCTGACTATATTCTAATTCAAAAGTAAGATTGGATGATGGCCCAACAGTGATTTCAAGTTGGTGTTGATGGTGTACTTTGATCGGCTTTGCTCTAAGAAAGGTAGTTTTAACTCCTCTCACATATCATAAAAATGAAAAAGAAATAGTGTTAAGAATGGGACTGGATACTGTGTTTTTCAAAAGGCAAAAGAAAGTAAGCCTATATAAAAGACTTCCAGTGAACAAGGGCCCACCTAGTCTAATATTCTATTTGTGTTCATTCTCTAAAGCTGTGGTCTT